CTAAATGCTCTGGCAATGAGCAAATGGACTGGTGCTGTCTGCTGGATACCATGGTGTCCATTCTTCAATTTTTAGTTACCAATTTGATTTTCATATTGGCTGCTGTCTGCAAGAGGCCATAGCACTTGCAGCTGTCGGCCTGGCTAAATACTCCAGTCATGAGTCCAGATCCCACTCTCGTCAGTGACATTGCGGGGCAATTGTAGGTCACTGCGTTGGCAGTACAAGAGTTGGACCTCTTGGGTTACTGCATATTTTTATATGTCACGTTTGCTCCAATGATGATCAGCATGATTCCAATCCAGTGAATTTCAAGCCTTGAGTGGTAGCTGCCTGCTGAGTACCACAGTTCAGGTCCACCAAATTTTCCGTTGCACTTTGATGTCTGATCCTCCTGGCCGCGGTCTGCCGGAAGCCAGATACTTTGCAGCTGTCGGCTTGGCTAAATGCTCTGGCAATGAGCAAATGGAGTGGTGCTGTCTGCAGGATACCACTGTGCCCATGTCCATTCTTTTTTTTAGTTACAATTTTTGACTATCCATAATGGCTCCATGTCCATAATTTTTTTTTGAAGTCCCGTGGCACCGCGTGGTCGCTGCCAGCTGAGTACCACGGATGCGGTTCATTATTTTTCTGTTTGATGTGACTGATTGTCACCCTGGCGCAGTCTGCCACAAGCCAGATGAATTGCAGCTGTCGGCCTGGCCAAATGCTCTGGCAATGAGCTCATGGACTGGTGCTGTCTGCGGGTTACCATGGTGTCCATTTTGTCTTCTCGTCACCGATTTGACTATTTTAGTGGCTGCTGTCGGCGGAATAGCCACAACATTTGCAGCAGTCGGCCAGGCAAAATACTTCGGTCATGAGTCCAGATACCATTTTTCCAGTGACATTGCGGAGCAATTGGAAGTCACTGTATTTGCAGTGTAAGAGTGTCAACTCTTAGGTTACTGCACCGTTTACTTTTTGAGCCCTACTCCAACATAGTCATAGGACTGATGTTCAGTATCCTCTTGACTATTTTAAGGAGTCTACCAGGTACGGGTAAGGGAACGAATACCTGGCAGAGGTATGCACCAGGGGCGCACGCAGCGTGGGCTGCTGTGACAGGGTCACATTAACCAAAGCACTTTTGAACAAAGACTCTCAAGCTTGTGCGAAAAAGAATTCAGTCCGAATCTGATTCGTCTTATCTCAAGTCAAGTGTAACTGATGCAGCCGAATATATATATATATATATCTATAATATATATGGTTGTCGATCTAAAGGTCCTAGTCAGCAGTGTGTATGACGATGACCCGGAACATATCAAAATCTCATTTGGCGAAAGTTTTTTCTCGAGTTGGCGAAAGTAAACTTTTTTGGCGAAAGATCTGGCGAAAGATTAAATATGTACTTTTGTATGAATGTTCATTTGCTTTCTGAACAGCTGGTGGCAGTGACTCAGAAGCTAGATGAGCTGTGGAAGTTAGATAACCTGCTGCTGCTGCAGCTGCTACCACTACCACTACCACTACCACTACCACTACTATTACTACTACTACTACTACCACTACTACTACTACTACTACTACTACTACTACTACTACTTACTACCTACTACTTACTACGTACTACTTACTACGTACTACTTACTACCTTCTACTTACTACCTACTACTTACTACCTACTACTTACTACCTACTACTTACTACCTACTACTTACTACCTACTACCTACTACTACTACTACTACTACTACTACTACTACTACTACTACTACT